GAGACATCGAAACCGGATCAAATGTTCAACGCAAATCTCCATACTCTGCTCAGCGTGGTGGAACCGATCCCTATCCTGCCTCACCCCACTCCTCTGGGACTGCAGACGATCAGCCGATAATATCCCAACATATGAATCCCAAACGTATGAATCCAAGTGACCTCGGTCGCCAGAAATCTCTGATCCGTCCCGAACGCAATCGAATAGACCGAGACCATCCCAACTACCACTACCGCAAACATGCCCAGAACATGGAGGTTTTGCCTTCAACCACAGGGAACGACCCTGTGGTGGAAGAGCTGGCGGAGGAGAGAACGGTGAGCTCTGAAAGCACCAATCTCAATCCGCAACCCGACGACCATTTTGGCGCCCAACGACGCGCCCCCGGAAAGCTTGAACCGGTTGGTCAGAAGAGACAACCTCGCAAGCTGGTCAGGAAAGACACCCGCGACATGACAGCAGAGGAGAAGAGGCGGCTGAAGGACATGGAAAAACTCAAACCGCCCAGCGCTTGGAATGTGTACTGTGCGGTCATCACTTTCTGGGCTCCTAACTTCATGCTCCAGTGCTGTGGCATGCCAGGGAGGGCCCAGAAAAGAGCCTGGAGAGAAAAAGTCGGTCTCATCAGTATCATCTTTCTCATTGCCGCCTTCGTCGGTTTTCTGACTTTCGGCTTCACCCGCGCGGTGTGCCCAGCTCCCGGGCTGCGGCTGAAGATCAATCACGTCGACCGTGGCTACATGATATTCCACGGAGACGCTTACAATCTCGACGGCTCCATGCATCCAGCTGCTTTGGGGATTCCACTCGACAGCAATGTCCTCTACGATCTCCCCCATAAGTACGGTGGCCAAGACGGAAGTTTCATGTTTCAGAAAGTCAATGGAGAGTGCAAAGGTCTGATCACCCTGGCACCTGGGTCCGACGTGCCTACGGACGCTGATGGAGACCTTGCTTGGTATTTCCCCTGCAACGCCTTCAATCAGGATGGATCGTCGCCACCGAACCTTACCAATCCTTATTATCTGGGCTACGCTTGCCATACTACCGCCAAATCGAGAAACACATTCTACAACCTGAGAAAAGCGGGGGAGGTCTTCTTCACTTGGGACGACGTCAAAAATGCCAGTCGGAATTTGGTGGTGTACTCTGGTTCGGTCGTTGACCTTGACTTGCTGAGGTGGTTCAACAAAAGCCAAGTCGCCTGGCCAAAACAGTTCGATGATATGCGAGAAAGCGACGAGATCCGCGGAACGGATATCACCCATGTGTTGCAATCTCCTGCGGACAAGAAGGTGGGCAAGTGTCTGACCCAGATTGCAAAAGTGGGCTCAGTTGATACCGAGACGGTTGGATGTATTGCGTCAAAGGTCGTCCTTTACGTCTCTTTGGTGTTTATTCTCGCCGTTGTGCTGGTGAAATTCTTCCTCGCCCTCGCCTTCCAATGGTTCTTAGCTGGAAAGTTTGCAGCCACCAAGACTTCGCAGACATCTGATCCAAAGAAAAGAGCCAAGCAAATCGAAGACTGGGCCGATGATATCTACAGGCCGGCACCCAAAATTACTGACCCAGCAAGTACAATATCTGGCTCCGAGGCGCGAGCCAGTAAGCGTGGAAGTCAGTTGTTCCCTCAGACATCACGCTTCACCAGTCCATATGCTGTCGAGCGTCTCTCCAAGACGAATCGTCCGCCACCAACCACAATGACCAGTCAGTCTTCAAACGCGCGGCTGATTCAGCCAGGAAGCGGTCTTTACAAAACCGGCTTCAACAGTAGTCAAAACACTTTGGACGTCAATTCTCGAATGAGCGTTGGTGCTAGCAGATCCAGCCTTCTCCTGTCTGGTCAGGAAACCCGGTATTCGGTTGTGATGGACACGCTGGAACCAGGGGGGCCGTTGGGTTTCATCCACGAGAATGTTGTTCCTCAACCACCTCCTGAGTGGCAGCCATTCGGCTATCCCCTCGCTCACTGCATTTGCCTGGTCACTGCATATTCGGAAGATGCAGACGGTGTCCGAACGACTTTGGATTCTATTGCAACGACCGACTACCCGAACAGCCATAAAGCCATACTAGTGATATGTGACGGCTTGATCAAGGGTAAAGGCAACGACTTGTCAACTCCGGAAATTGTCCTCAGCATGATGGGTGACTTCGTCGTTCTCCCGGAAGATGTGCAGGCATTCTCCTACGTCGCCGTATCCAGCGGCTCGAAACGACACAACATGGCCAAAGTCTATGCCGGATTCTACGATTATGGTCCTAACTCGAAAATCGATCCAACCAAGCAGCAACGGGTGCCCATGTTAGTCGTCGTCAAATGCGGAACACCTGATGAAGCGGGCAAGGCCAAACCTGGTAACCGGGGCAAGCGCGACAGTCAGATCATCTTGATGTCCTTCCTCCAAAAGGTCATGTTCGATGAACGCATGACGGAACTTGAATACGAAATGTTCAACGGCCTCTGGAAAGTCACGGGCATGTCCCCCGACTTTTACGAAATGGTGCTCATGGTCGATGCCGACACCAAGGTATATCCGGACAGCCTGACGCACATGGTCTCCGCCATGGTCAAGGATCCCGAAATCATGGGTCTCTGCGGCGAAACCAAGATCGCAAACAAGACCCAATCGTGGGTCTCGCGAATCCAGGTCTTTGAATATTTCATCTCGCATCATCTGTCCAAATCCTTTGAATCTGTCTTCGGCGGCGTCACTTGCTTGCCAGGGTGTTTCTGCATGTACAGGATCAAATCGCCCAAGGGTGGACAGAATTATTGGGTCCCGATCCTTGCCAATCCGGACATTGTGGAACACTATTCGGAAAATGTGGTTGACACGTTGCACAAAAAGAACCTCCTCCTGCTCGGCGAAGACAGATATCTCTCGACCCTTATGCTCAAGACATTTCCCAAGCGCAAACAAGTCTTCGTCCCTCAGGCGGTGTGCAAAACCACAGTGCCGGACAAGTTCAAAGTGCTTTTATCTCAGCGGCGCCGTTGGATCAATTCCACGGTCCACAACCTGATGGAACTCGTCCTGGTGCGCGACCTCTGCGGTACATTTTGCTTCAGCATGCAATTTGTTGTCTTCATCGAACTCATAGGAACCCTCGTATTACCAGCGGCCATCGCATTCACCTTTTATTTGATCATCATCTCCATCGTGGCCAAACCCGTCCCGGTCATTCCTCTCATTCTCTTGGGTCTCATTTTGGGTCTCCCCGCGGTGCTGATTGTGTTGACGGCGCACAGCTGGTCATATGTCGCATGGATGGGCATCTACCTGCTCTCCCTTCCCATCTGGAATTTCGTCCTGCCGGCCTACGCGTACTGGAAATTCGACGACTTCAGCTGGGGCGACACGAGGAAGACGGCAGGAGAGACGAAGAAGTCCGGCGGCCACGGAGAAGCCGAAGGCGAGTTTGATAGTTCAAAGATTCTAATGAAGAGGTGGGGAGATTTCGAAAGAGGTGAGTTTCATCTGCACCAGCACACCGTATCCTTAACTGTGGAATGAACCCTAATGTTATGCGTTGCAGAACGTCGGGCACAAGCTAGCGGCACCGCGTGGGCGCAGCATTCTCTCGGCCCAACGTCCGCAAAGGCGGTAACGGTCACGAGCGATTATGCCTCGAGCCACGGAGAGTTTGAGCCGTATCATGACTACTGACGACACCCTCGAGCGCGGCCGTGCAACTCCATGCCGCAAGCGGCATGAGCCGGGGTGGGCTGTTTTTGATGTATAACGAATGAACATAAAAATTCAAAACCAAAAGAGGGACCTGCGTCTAGCATTTTTGCGGAAGAGTTGTGCATCTGTGAGAGCATCGGGAGACAGGGCCACGACACGACACGACTGGGGAAAGGATCTGCAAATCATAGAGTTAATAACTGGGGGCATGGCATCTTTATCACAACTTTTTTGGGGGGTTGTTGGGAGTGGAGGGAGGGAGGGAAATCTTATGGGATGGTTTCTGCCTGCGACGCTCTGGCGCAGGGCGGGATATTGTCGAGGGTCGACTCTACATACGTTAGAAGTACATTAATTACACCGGCATGGTTCACCTTTCGATCCCTCAATGCTATTGATTGCCTGCTGAGGGACTTTGGATGCAAGTAGTTGGCGAGGCTGGGCGGACTTCTTGGTCGAGGCCGCCAACCGCGTGGTAGCACGTGGCATCAAGATGCGGCGAGGCAGCAAGCCATCAACACCATAATACCATACCATGGCGTCGGCTTGCTGTCAATCTGGGATTCAGCCCAACTCGTACTCCTGAGGAAAGGGGAAAAGTGGAGAAAGGGCTAAAGGAGTACCACCAGTACTATTACTACGTGCTGGTGACCAGTTGCGGCGTCGAATCTGGTTCTACGAGAGCTGAAGCGAGGACGAACACGAACACGAACACGAGCCCGAGGCCGAGGACACTGTGAACCAGTTTCCGCCAAGCCAAATGCGTCGATATATCCATCACACCGGTGTCCATTTGAAAGCACGAGGTCCTGATCGAAGGACTAGACTCGGTTCTTATGGTTACACAGTCGTCCTGTTGCCCCTCTCACATGAGATACCTGCTCTACTTACGCAGAACACCTTCGCCGCGCACATTGTGAACATAAAAGGAAAACCGGGGGGAGAGAGTGGTAACCGGAATCATCACTTTTCAAATAATATAGTACGATTGAGATGGTGGAATCTGGGTATTTATAGAGTATCATTTTTCTGTACAAGAGTCTAGAGTCCCAGAATCCGGAGGACATTTCTTCCCGCTCTTCTCCTTTCTATTCATTGCAAAAATTGTCATACATACAGCCCGATCAGCCCGATCAGCCCGATCAGCCCGTCCTGTCCAACGCCTACGCTATTCGGAGCAAAATCCAACCGCCCCGTGTTTCTATGCTCTGGTCCTTTCTTGTCCCAGTGCGCTCACGCCTACCACCCAGCCCCATCCTCAACCAGAATACCGCTGACTATACCGACGTGCCGAAATCCTCAGCATCAGTGCAGCCCACTGGTGACGAATGCCATCACCAGTGTTGTCATGATCATGAGCGAAACCGGCGGTACTACCTTCCATCCCCCGGTGGCAGCGTTGGGACTCGCCACACTGCCAGCCTTTACATCCGTGCTCACAAACGCGCTCCCACAGCTCTTGTCCACCTGAGTCGCGCACGGTAGGTACGTCTTGGCCAGGGGCTGTGATGCGTCCTGTGCATACCCTGCAAAGATCTCCATCGTCTCTTTGAGACACTGACTGCAACTGGGGCGCGCCGTCTCCGGCATCGACAGTCCCACAGCCGTGTAGTAAGGGTAAAAGTCGGCAGCGTTGGACGAGTTTGTAACGGCTTCGCTGAAGCAGTAATTCCCGGTGCTTTTGTCCTGGAGACACGTGGCCCGATAGACCGGTTCGTAGGCTAGGAATCCTGCGTAGGCTTGTGAGACCAGCGGGTTCTGCTGCTTGTATTCCTCGCCACAATTCGCGTCGTCGATCAGTTGGGAGCCGAGATTGCTGAGCAAAGGCGAGCAGATGGCCAAGGGGGCATTACACGCTGCGTTCAGGGTTTGCGTAAGGAGCGTGAATGATCGCTGGGCGCGGAAGAATGAGTTGGAGTTTTGCAGCAGCAGGGACACGGGGACGCAGGATTGGAATGTTGAGTTGTTGAGGAAGTCGGAGAAGAACTGTGGGCAGGAGGAACTGCTGAAGTTGCTTCCTAGCGAGGTGTCGAAGGGAGTCGGGAGTGGTGTGGTGACGACGGTGACGCTGGGTGCGGTCAATGTCGACACGCCGGGTGTTGACAGAGGAGCTTTGGTTTCTGTGCTGATGGCCGATACCGATTCAGCGGAAGAGGTGATTGTGGGTTCTGAGGAGGGGGATGAAGACGATGTCGAAGTTGAAGTAGGTCCGGTCACCGTGGTCGGCACAACGGTGTCCCCGACTTGTCTCCTTTCCAGATAAACATTCCGGCGAGGAGGTGGTTCTCGATGGTCGATGTGTATTTCCCCCCTTGCAGCTAACTCTTGGTAGAAACTTGATTCGTAGATTTGCGCATCCAACTCCATGACTTGGCCGCATGTCGGTGTCGCCATGACAATTAGGGCTATGATTAACGAGATTATGGTCGTGGTTATTGTTGTACAGCTGCGGATGTCCCGACGCCTCCCCAGCCGCAACGGCTGTGCGGAATAGAAAACCATGGCCGCCGATTCGGTTGGAAGCCCCCCGTGATATAAAGAACTTCGATAAAGATGATGTTGGATGGTAAAGAACGGACGCCTCTGAGTTCACCTCAAGGCATGCGCTATGGCAGGAGACTCGTCGGGCCCGAGCGAGGCAATCACATCGAACAACCTTGGTTGTCCTCCGGATGGTGGTGAGTGTCTCTCCCGTGGTAAGAACCTCACACCTCGTCGAGTCCCAAGTCTCTGGGTGTGACTAGAGGTCCTTCCTCACTGACAATAATAATATCCAGTTGATCCCGCCCCGATTTGGACTCTGGGGAACGGTATCGCACGTGTTGGACCCTGGGCGTTGATCCTGTTGATCTGCCGCGGAAGAGAACGTCGTGCCGTTTCAGGAATAGAAGGTTTCAAGGTGGACAAGCGAGGAGTCGGTTTGAGACTTGTCTGAGTCGCAATGATGGTTAAAGGGTGGCTAGGTGTTCGTGCCGTATTGTTGTTGGAATAGCCAGAGTGAAAAACTACAAGCAATAATAACAATGCGCAAAGCTCCAACCTGAGAAAACAAAGGACTGTGATGGAGAGCTGCAGGTAAGTCCTCAGTCAACACATACCTTCCAGGATGCTTATTTCCATTTTCCCTTGGAGATTGAGTCCGGCCAAAGCATTTGAGTACTACCGTTGCCAGTCAACATTAGCAGAAGCCGACCCATTGGAATGCGGGCATTTGTTGGACCATGAGAGCAGGAATTGAAGCCTCCACTCGGCGTCACGGAGACGTTCAAAAGCGGAATCCTTCCAATTCCTTCTGGTAAGCGCCCGAACGCGTGGATCGCTTATGCAACACAGTATGGCTAGGGGGCACTTGGTGGCGCTCCCGTGGCGCTCTCTTTCCCCAAACCCGCTGGTGCCAGAGATGGTCAACCACGAGGAGACCCAAGGGACCTTCATTTCCGCCCTCGTAGTTTGGGTTCTAGGCCCCCTTTCGTGGTCTTGGATGGCCCAGAAGTGACAGGCTGTCGATCACTTTCTGATTCCAACTGATATCAACGGCCCCCATTCCCCATCTTGCACGAGAGACCACTACCTCCTAAGTATTGAACATTGAAAGAAAAGGCCCACACAACTGACAGGGGACGGGAAGGGCTGACGGGTTCGCGCTTGGACAAGCACTGCATTGAAGGTGCTCGCGGCTCGTAAGTACTTACGGTGGACCGGTGAAAGACGTGGCCTTTCTCGGTGCAGTCTAAACGCTGTCATGTCAACTCTTGTAGAGGCGATGTTCTCCTATGAAAGAGCTAAGACCAGCGAAAAGAATCGCCTCGTCGGAGTCGCACACCAAATTGTCGTGTGCGGGAAGTCCCTGGAGGATGAAGAAAGCAGGATGGTTTACCGGCGACTCGCTTGCAATTGCCAAGATTCAATAGTCGCTGAAGCCACCAAGCAATGGCGAGAATCAGGGGGCCATTTGGGAGAGAATCTGAGAGTCGCCGGCTGCGCCTCAGATTCGTCAACTTATGCAATGGTTGCCGATGCTGCCCTTTGATTTTCTCATCTTAACAAACATGGGAGAATTGCGCGGTAGTTTTGCTGATCGTCATCTCATTGGTCTTCCTATATAATTGGTTATTTCCGTCCAATCCTTGCCTGCCGCCCAATGGTACGAAGTATCTACCTCGTACCCAGTACAGATCAATGTCATGCCAAACATCTTGGCTTGCTCCAGAACAAATACACACACACACACACACTCTCTCTCTCTCTTTGCGCGACGATCACAAACCTTGACGTCAGCTGCGTCGCGGGTCGGTGTCGAGAGCAAGCGGCCCCAGCTCAGCTTCATGCTGCTGCGCGCGTAATCTAGATTCCTTCTCCTGCAAACGTCTGTTGAAGCCCATCGTAGCCCATCCTCCAAGTCGGTTGAAGAACACCCGACCGGCCGGGTGCTGCCTGACCCGGTCGAGAAGACTGGTCACCGCTTCTCGAACCCGCCAATCTTCGTGCCAGAGCCCCAGAGCCACAAAGAAGAGTCCTGCCTCTGACATGGGAGCCATCTCCAGCAGCTCCAGGATGCTCTCGTAGTCGGTGCAATATGCTTCGAGCGCCAGATAGATGGCGCCAGCTTCCGTCGGAGTCAGGTGCAGGGTCCGGAGCTTGGACAGCGAATGATAGAGGTCCACGTACGGCTTGGTCGGCGCTCGAGCGAGCATCTTGGTCATGCTGACAGGTGATGTTGGCGAGACGGGATCCTGCGAATGTGCCGCCAGGTCGGAGATGAATGCGTAGTAGGATCGTGTGTTACGCCACCCTTCAATTCTGGCTGCGGACGCTGCAAGTTCGCGGGTCTTAGCCTCATCACTCGGCCAGACATACCCATGTCCTTTCAGGTTCTTACTGGAAGTTTTCAGCGACATCGGTCGTGCTGGTGCTGGTGTGGTGGCAGTGGTCTCCACGTTGTCTACCTCTGTAGGGGGTATCACCGTGAGGTTGCTCGCTCCATACACAGTTTCTTCAAAGGCCGCCGCTATGCGAGTGAATTTCGTGATATAGGCTCGAAATTTGGCTCGGATGATGGACTCGCCGGCTCGAGATGTAATACTTCGGCTGATATCATCCATAAACAGTCCATCTCCGGTAGCATCTGAGTGATGGAGGTCTTTGTGAGTCAGAATGGAATGTCCGTGTTGCTGGAAATATGTTGTCCCTTCTGTAACCGGCGCTGCCTCAATGCAGGATGAGATTTTCATTCTGCCCGAGGGCAAGTCACAAAGTAGGTCCCACCACTCCGGATGGTAGGAAAACGCCGGGTTTGTGACACCTGCAATAAATCCAGGGACTTTCAGAAGCTCGTCGATCTTGGTCAGATCAGTGTATGGGAATGCATGACGGGTGAATCCCCTTAACACGCCACCTGAGGCCAATGCACAAGCCGCAAGAACAGCTTCCGCAACCTCCCCGGATGGTCGGTTGTGGCCCAAAAATATGACCCGTTTTTGCGTGAGCATGGCGTTGATGAGGACAATGATTGGATGCGTGAACGCCCCCGAAGTTGTCAGATGGGGGTGTAAGGCAAAAGGCTGAGGTTGAGACAGATGCGGATTGCCAAATACTTGGACAAGCTTGATGAGCGAGAAATCGCCCACAGTTTCGGGCGACAAAGCGGTAGGGATCTTGACTGGAATCGGGATGCTGTTATAAACAATCTTTGATTCAAACTCATGCGTGTCGCGGGGAACTGAATATTTTTGCTCCGGCTTCGTGGGCGACTCTGGAGCGTCAGGAGCTCTTGCCAGGGCTTCGTCTGCCAATCGTTGGGAAATCATTTGTTCGAATTTCTCCACAAACATGTCTTTAACGTCGCTTGCCTGCAAAATATGTCGTTCCAGCAGTGACAGTCGGGGCATTAGAGACAGGTCCATGGCGTTTAGGGCGTTGTATAAGAGTTCCAAGGTGTCTGGTGTAGGTGACTTGAAATAGTCCTCCAGGGCGAGCAACAAGAGGGGCTTGTATATGTGGAGAAAAGAGTGCCGGGTACAAATGGCCATTGCCTTCACAATGGCGCCTCTTTTCACCGAGCTGTCTTGCTTGGTATTAACCAAGTTCAAGACATACATTAGAGGAGGACTCTCCATGTCATCTGCGTCACTGTCATCACTGCCGCTTTCGTCTGCGGATTCTTCTGCCTCGCCATCGGCAACCTCACCGGCTTCTCTTGCGCGCCGCCGTGCCTCTCGCTGGCGCCTTCTAGCTTCTCGCTCAGCGGCCTCATCTTCGCTCGTGCCAGAGTCTTTATGCAAAAAGAACATAGTCCAGTCTTGTGGCCGGACATGTGTCTGGTCAGGAAGCATCAACTCGGCCAACATGTTTTCATCCGGGCTAATTGCACCGGGGAACTGATGTTCCATGATGGGGCCTCGATCGATGTCGAACGAAGCAACAAGGATGTATTCCACATGAGGTTCGCTTGAGTGCAGAGGATATTGCGACCTTAGTCTCTTCGAGGGGCGATAAGGCCCGTCTTCGTAGACTGTAGAAACTCTCTGGGAGGAGCGGTAGGAACCCCGGGGCGATGGAGGGACTAGGGAGCTTTGTGAGGACACTTTATAATGGGAGTAGGCGGATTTGTGAGAGCCCGAGTTGGAAGAGGTAGATCTTGGTCGGTCATAATGCCCGCTCACGTTCACAGGGTGAGGGCGATAAACAAGCATTTCGGTCATGGCGTCGTAAATATCGTCGTCGTCGTCGTCAAGTTTTTTATGTTCAATGTTCTTGAGTCGTGGTCTTCCAACCTATTCGCGGTTGAGCATGTCGCAGGAGAGGAGAGTCGATTGAAGGGAAAGACTGAAGGCTCTAGAGAGAGAGGTGGTTCAGAGTCTGTATCGACATTTGCTAGAGGTCCGACGTGCAGCGCCTCAGATATGGCTCGAAGTTGGCTTCAGTTTGAGGTTCAGACCGCGCTCTGAAGGGTGAAGGGGGGACCTATCCTTGGACTATCCCCTTGCGCTGCAGAGGGATTGAGTTGTGAGCGCGACCCCGAACCCCCCAGACCCTGTCAACTTCACGTCGGCCCCTGCAAATGCTGGCCCTAAAAAGCCTAAGTACTTAGGTAAAGCCCCTGAGATCGGCATTTTAGCGCCCGAGACTGGACTGTACTGGTATGGCGCTGATTGGGGATCTCCTGCGAGTCGGCAAACCTTCCATGGTAAATCTCAGACGTTGCTACCCTGCCAACCCACTCTTGTTTACACGATCACATGCATCGAGATGGCGTCGCACTCCCAGCCTAGACAGCACCACCTCAAGACGTTACGCCACAGCTTATCAACTATCTCCAGTTCAAGTCGAGACGTCAAAATACTACCGGCATTGTGTGTAACGCCTCCTGCACCAAGACTTGGCTCTTTCGCGTCGAGTCTTCCCAGTGACTCAGTCAATCATCCATTGAAGCCAACATAAGTTTCCTGGACTTGGATTGACGGTGACAATGGTAAGCCCTCTTGTTTTTGTTGTTCGCAGCTGGCCAGTCTGTGCGCTGAGACCTCATCTATCCAGTCCTCATACAAATCAACATTCAACAACTCTCCCCGTTCGTCGCCCTTCCGCCGTCCGGGTTCACCAGGCTCCCCTACCCTCGTCAGCTCTGGAAGACCGGCAACTCCTCCAACCAACAGAAGCGCCGCTTCACCTTTGACCTCGCCATCTAAGCTTAAGCATGCCTATACAGTCTCGGAAGAAGAAGAGGAAAGCGAGATCATGGTGTCAACCCCATCAAAAACCACAGCAGATCCGTCCTTTAGAAGAGCTCAAACTGAACCCCCTTCGTCATCAACGACTCGTCGCTCACAACCTCCTTCGCCCTCAAAACACGACGCAACCCCGCTCCTGATGCCCAATACAAACAATTCAATTAGCAGAGAGCCACGCAGGCTCGTCTCAAACGGTATGCTCTCTCAAAACGATAACCTCTCAAAACTCCCTCCGCAACTCCTGCATAACATGCGCGAATCCTTCTCCGTCCTGGACTCCAATTCCAACGGCACAATCGACGCCTCTTCTGTGGCTGAAACGCTGCAGTCCCTTGGACTACATGAAAGCAACCTGTCTCAATTCTTCCCGCCGGGACAACCGCAACAGATGTCCCTGCCACAATATCTGAGTCAGCTGGCCAATATATTAGTCGGATTATCGCCTCAGCAAGAACTTCTCAATGCTTTGTCTGCCTTCGACGACGATGATAGCGGGCAAATCGACGTTGCAGAGCTGCGTGCAGCGTTATTGAGCACGGTGCCAGATCCGGGGGAACGACCGCTGACCGGAAAGGATATTGACCGAGCCATGGAAGGCTTCACGGGAAGGAGGATTCTCGGCAAAAACGTGATTGGTATTGCTGGCGTGAGAGGCTTAAAGGATCCCGCGCCAAAGAAAGGAGGCGACGTGTTTCGATACCAGGAGTTTGTGGCGAATTTGACGGGCGGGCCTGCCACGGACTCTGTACGTGCGCAGAGTGTTGCTTCGCTGTAGTGTTTTCAATTATTTTAATAGATCGGCGTAACAACGGTCCGGGTGGGCTGAGTGACTTATAGTACGTGAATGAGATTATTGAATACTGGATGAGGTCGATATATCAGAAGGCAGTATGCAACAAGAATGTCAGGATCTGCTCTCAGGCGTGAAAAGCAGTATATTATCGCGGTGATTCATTTATGTTATTCTCATCATCTCGGCCAAGTACTTTCAACAAGAATTTGATTCCAAAATTGTTCAGATTTGTACAGAGATCTTTCTGGATCTTTTGAGTCGATGGGCATAGGCTTCCATCTCCTCATTCCGGGACCCGAATCCGTGACGCCTCATTGTAGAATGGATTTTCTAGCATACGACCGACCTCTGCGCCCAGGGCGCGCGCCACGCTACAAAAATCTCAATATCCATGACAATTCGTGGTCGGTGATTCATCGCGCTCGTGGTCTCACATCTCACATCGAAACGCTCCATAAGTTTTGGGTATAGATTCGTGTGTGGCAGTCCAATCCTCACTTCTTCGAGGTCTTTGGCGGCGGAGGGAAATATAGCTGCGGTGTAGATGATTCCTGCGGACTAGTGCCAATCTCAGGGGACTTGCCATTGGCTTTCTCGGAGCCAGTACCGGCTCGCTGAATAAATCCCGGGCTCATTGGGCTTCTGGGCAAATCAGGACTCCGAATCGCGAACGATGGAGAGGTACTTCCTGGGATGTTCGGCGAGTTGAAGTGGCTCCTCAGCGGAAGATCCTTCGTTCCACCCAACGTGTTGAATGCAAGTGTTCGCGGAGTCATTGGGTTCAGTCGACTATTCACAATACCCGGGGTATCCGGAACGGGGTATCTTTGTACAGTGGTCTCGCCCGTCTCGTCGTCCTGGTAAGTTTCAAACTTCGCCCAGCGCTCGGCCTTGAGACGTTTCTTCTCGGCGTATTCTTCACGTTGTTGTTTACTGGGGAAGCACGAGTACGCCGCGAAGCCGAAATAGGTGACAAAAACGCCCAGCATGGCGCAAGTGCATGCAAAGCTCGCTTTCGCTTGTGTACAGTAGCCAATGTTGTTCTTGTCATGAGCCACGCTGCAGGATTTGGTGATGTACCAGGGAGCGCCGTGCTGAGGGTGATCCGGATCGGTGGTGTCACTACTGGCTTGATAGTCCACGGAGACGGTGTACAAGATGATGAGGCCAGCGTGAACCAAGGCGGAGAGGATGGGTGGGAAAACGTGGAGCATGTACATGATCGACTTGACAAGCATGATGAACATGGAGAGGACGGTGATTGCGACATTGTAGTCGGTTATGCTGGTGAAGGAGTGTCAGCATTGATTCCAGAACCCTGTAGGAAGATGCTCACAATTGTGACCAGACTTTTGGAGTTGTATAGGGCCGATAATTGGCCGCGGCATATAGCCCTGTCAATGGGCTTGAATTGAAGCCATTATCTGCACCATCTTGCCAAAGCCTTGTGCGGTAGGTGTCTGGCGAGGCGATGCCGAACAGTGCCAGCAGGGCGATGGTCAATGGGATCTCAAGGAGGATCAAGACGTAGAAAGGCCATTTATTCGGCTTCCAACGTCGAGAAAGAAAGAACCTCATGCCGACAGGTATCTGGGGGAACGGATTCTCGTCTTGCTGATCTGGGGAGCCACAGGTGATGATGCGTTGGTCCGTCGATAAAGAGGATTCGATCTATTGATGTCCCTGCATGTTCAACCAGGATGTCGCCGCGGTGAGATGTCGAGTTACTCTGTGCACTGCCAAAGGGCACAAATTGCTCGACTCGGTAGCATGGCAAGAGAGAGAGAGAAGAGGCCGCGAAGAATGCGCAGGTCTCATAAAAGGCGGCCATGGTAGAAGGTGGGAGATGCTTACATGGCAGCACCAGCAGCAGGCGCTTACAGGTCGACATGGCGAATGAGCATCAACGAGTGATCGAGAGCCATATCAAAGAAGCACCAATAGGCGGGGTGTGAAGGCCCAAGCGGCGGTGACTGGGGGTTAAGCACACCGAGGGGATTGGTGGGAGGCGACGTGATAGACCCTGATAAGTATCGAATCGCCAGGCTTAGGGGACTCTGGTGCCAGGTGCCCCGCCCAATGCACGCCCTGACCCTAGCAGCGGGCTGCTGCGGGCTGCTGCGGGCTGGGTGGTGAGGGTGCCGAGGGGTCCTAACCAGCTCGCCAGCAAGCCAGAGAGCCCGCAACACATAATTCCGAGTCCCTTCATTTCTCCAGGCCACCCGATTCTGGGTGACAGCGTTCCTCAGGTTGGGTGCGGCGTGTGACCGACCATCACCTTTTTCTCCCCGTCCTATTCTTTCGACTTTCACTCCGTCCTAAAAGCTGTTTGATTGACCAAGTTCTACTTCACCATGTGTCTTGCTTAATATCAACACGGCAGACCAAATCAATGGGCCTTGTTGATTGAAGAGCTGGCACGAGAATGAGAGTAATGTGAGAGACCACAGAGAGCATCCCAGAAACGAGGCTGTGGATAAGGCGCTTGGCGAGCACAAGGCTGCAGCCGCCTTCGCCGGAAGATACAATTTTCCAGAATAATATCAGCTGATCTCCCACGTGAACCGGTCTATTTTTACAGCTCCCCTTTTTTTTGGGATCTTCATTGGGACCTCCCTCCACCTTGTTTCCGTCGTCGATCTCTCGCCCTCGCCTTCAAACATATTCTTTCTCTCCCCCCAGGACGTTAACTGTGTGAGTCAAGTATCAGAATGTTTCCTTCCACCACCTGTGACGACATGCTAGTGCAAGCCATCACGTCAAAGCTGTCAAGCGAGAAGCTGGCAGCTCGCCCCTTTGGAGAGGCGTCGACCCTTTTTCGATCGGCAACCCGGCAAGGTGGGTTGGTGATTGGGTTCCTTGGGCTCCTCTTAGGCTCCTCCAGCATTCAGACTGCTACTGGGAGGTGACTGGCGCTCCTGGAACCACCGGGCTCGGAATGTTACTCGAGGGCCCATTTGGATCCCAGCCTGGTGTTTGACCCTGTTTCGCATCCTTTCCTTTTTCGGCCTCCCGAAACACCTCCTTCCCTGTGCAAGCCTGTGCCACCCTCCACGCGCCCACCAGCCTTCCCTGTGGAAGGCGCCTCTCCTCTATCCACTGTTCTGAATCAAACTCACCCAGACAGACCTTTTCTCGCCGATGTCTTTGTCCACTTTGCAATCCGGTGTTCGAGCGCAGGGTGTTGAGATCCTTCGTTGTCCTGCACTCCCATCATCATTCCTGCCCAAGTTTTCTGGAAGCCATCACAGTCTCTTATATGGCAACAGCCTCTCTCTAGACCGCTCATCCAATTTCCCCTCTGTCGATGGCCTCGCGCTAACCTTCTTCGCCCGATGATCTCTCAATTTACCAGCTACGGCCCCCATGCTACACTGGGATAGTGCCCTCGCGCAAAAGGAGCTTGCGACGACAGCCTTCGAAGCCTCTGGCATCTCGTCGACCTTACCTTTGCTTCTCGCCGTCTTCTTTCTTGCCTTGACTGCAGGTGACGCTCAGTCCATCCTGCCTGCCTGCCATTGAACCCAGGCAGGATGTTTCGACACGGGCAAATGGTACATAAACGGGAGCCTCAGAACGCTGCTGCGGAAACCTCCCTACCTTCTTTCATCACCAATCCAAATCCAACCACGTTTCCGCAGTCGATAGCTCCGACTTCTGTCACCCCAGACCCATCCGCCACCGCTTCGATCGTTACGGCTCAGGCGGTGTCTGGGTTCACGACCGTTACCGAAACACAGACACTACAACAGAGCCTCACCGGACAAGGAATTGAAACTACCTTTACTACCGAAAGAACCAGGACCATTACCGACCCGGCCGAATATGCTTCCCTCACCTCAGCAGCTGCGGCTGCATCCTCCACCTCCACCACTCTCCGGACCACCACAAAGACATCGACCGCTGCGACAAGCAGTGCTGCAGCCCGACAGTCCGATTCGAATCTCAGCACCCTTATTCCAGCAATCGTGGTCCCAGTGGCTGTTGTGTTATTGGCATCGCTGGGTCTGTTTTGGTTCTTCATGAGAAGGAGACATAACAGAGATTTGCAGATTGAACCAGAGTTTGTGATGACGGGCAAAGGCGAAAAACTGAGTAGCCGTTCGAGCAGCAGGTCAACCTCATCTATTCCAAAGGGGGTGGAGAAAAAGTCTCCAGCCGTCACTGAAACCGAACTCACGTCTGCCAAATCGCCACCAACTCCTATGTCTGAGTGGCCATCAGCGCAGATTGGCGTTGCCCGCCCACTCACTCCTCAAGACTCGAAATCCGCTGGACAGGATCGATCTTCGGATCAACCGAGATCCCTGACTGCAAACTCTCCCTACAGAAATATGCGCGGCCCAGGCACGGCAGTGAGACCTTCAACATCTGGACGAGGAGCACAGCCGCCCCCAAGTTGGGAACAGGGATCGAATAGGAATAGAAGCAACAGCACGCCTGGCCAGAGGGGTCAACCCCCAGCATCACGGCCAGGCCCTAGTCCAATACCGAGGACAGCTCCGAGCCCGGTCTTGCGAAGCGGATCAAGTCCCGCAACTCAACGGCTAAACCCCACAGACTCTCCGAGGCAGGTTGCATCATCCTCAGCTTTCCGCTTGCGCGACCCTTCTCCCAACATGAACCTCAGCAACCGAGCACAGGCACCATCGCGGCTGGAGGCCCCTCCGCCGGGTGCTTTCAACGGCGCTTCATCCATATCACAATATTCCCCTATTGTGAAAGATACGCCAGGCATTTCAAAAGGGCCCACAAGCAAGAGAGCACCGCCACCCATCAACACTGCAAATCTTGGAAGAGAAGGGCTCAAGTCACCCACTTCTGGCAGCCCTCCTGGTCTCGGTTTAACAGAAGAAAATCTCCGTATTGCTCGATTGGCCAACTCTTCTCGCCTGGGCTATACTCCTGGAGAGCCCACCCCGTCACCTAAACTACCTCCACCAGCCACCCGCTCGCAGTTGATTCCTCGAGAGAGTCCGAAGGAGCATCAAGATCGTTTCTTCGGGGGGAGTGTAGGCAATCAAACAATGATACGTCCCCAAAGAGCATCAATCCATTACAAGGCGGCCCGAGCCAGCATTGTGTCGGATGCTGACGATTACGAAGACATCGAGGCCAAATCGGACGTCAGCAGTCTCAATGAGTTTGAACGCTTTGACTTCGGCACCGACATAAACGGTGGCAGGGGTAGTGCCGGCGGAGGCTCCTTGACCTTTTTTGCGGCACAGAATAGCCCCGCTAGTGACAGAGGGAGCGCCTTTGGAACGGCTGGGACTCATGAGCGATGGTGATCGAAATTGAGCTCCAAGAAAGCACAGGTTATTGCTCCACGTCATTCATTTTCGCGGTCTCGCATTATTTTTGTCCCTTTTTTTATTAGTCATCTCATGACATTGACGATCGTTTGTGTACTACATGTTGTTCTATTTCCCCCCTGCACTTTGTGGATGCTCACTACTATAAAAGCAAGAAGGATTTATGCTTTGCGAGAGCATGTGAATGATACCCATATCAAACCCGCTTCGATGGCGAACTGGGATCAGCTTGTGAGAATAGCTACTGCATATTTGGAGACGGAAATCGAAATAGATCTCCGAACAATAATTATCTGTGTGACAACAGGAGGAAGATTGATGGAAGGATGAGACAGATGACGAGAATTTATTTGGTGGAAGGAAGGAGAAAGACAACGGAGACGGCCTAATTCAGTCTGCTCTGTTTCTAGATGAGGCGGTGGTATGAATAACAATCTTACAAACTTGTTCAGAACGAAATAAAGTCCCAGGTGCCCTTTATGTGACCAGGGCTCTGAACTGCTTTCTATTCCAAATCTAAAGTCGATTCTCGAAAAACCGGGGGATGCGGTTGATGCTGGAGACGTCTCTGCTGGTCCACGCATGCTCGCGGCCACCCAAGAGTACGTAGAATACCACGTCCTCGGTACACATAGTGTCAAAGACGTCCTCAGCCCGATATAATACGAGCTAGCTAATCTGCTGCGCCCGGTTCATTCAGTCCCAACGAATCGCCACTCGTCCAATTGACGTCCAAGAACAGGTAGGAGATCAACCACTTCCCCTGTCCCTGCCCCTGGCCTTGACCTTGACCTTGGCCTTCCTTTCGGAAACTCCAGTAGTAGTAGCCGCCTTCTTGAAAGACTCTGCCGATGTCGTCGGGGTCGATGCCGCAGATGGCGTGCAGTGCGGAGCGGGCGTGCGCTGTGGTGTCGGATTGGAAGGTGATGGTGAAGTTGGAGGACGCGTGCTGGGGGGAAGATGACCCGTCAGAGGGAAGCATTTATAGAGGGAGAGGACTGTTTGCATGTAGCGCGCGAGAATCGCCTTCCTTGCGTGCAATCATGCATACGAGAACAGAAGTCGAGAAAAAGACGAAGGGAGATCTGTTGACTCACCAGCATCCGGTAGAACCTCGTCTCAGCATTCATCGCCCACTGTGCTAGCCCGTCTCTGCCTCTGTGGCTACCGAATGGATAGGTGACGACGCAGTCGCTGGTGAAGAGGGCGGCCCATTTTTGCGCGGCGTCGTGGTCTACCATGCACGCGTCAAGGGCATAGCCGTATTCGTTAAGTATGTTCGTTATTTGTTGGTGTTCGTACAGATATCTCACCCTATCCTCGATCGTTTCCGGGATCGCCAGCGAAGATACGGTTTTCGGGTCGTGGCCTTTGACTCCATTGGTTGGTGGGGTTGGCTCTGAATAGGAGTACGAGAGCGGATGGTTCACTGCCAATATTGCTGGCCTAGGAGACATTCTTGGATCGCTGCTGATATTTTTCTGTATCTTCAGGCTGAGATGGACGATTGTAAGCATGTGTGTCCCGCCTCCCAACGATTCTGATCTCTTTTGGCTTTGACAAACTGTGCCTGGATTGTCCTGATTGGCTGCCGCAAGACCCGTTCTCATCGGTGAAGGATCCTTAACTGAGGTCGAGCGGGGTCTTCGCAACCTGCATGCACATCTGGGGCTTCTCCATACTGTGGAGTGAGCCACTCCACGCATTCCAGTTGGCGGAGGGAATAAACTTCCAGTCCATGCAGGAAGTGCAAAATGCTCCCCACCGGCAGAGGTAACAGGGTCCCTTTTCCGGTCTCGATTTCCAGGAAACGTAACAGATAGAGCGAGTTGATCTGGACCTGGCTGCCAACCCTGCTATCCTGCCGCGGGAGTGTCATAGAAGTAAAACCCTTCACCCTCGGGGCTCCAGTGAGGGTTGGTACGGTCGCCTTCTCGACCCTCCAGATCAAGGAGTTCGCCTTGTGGTGAGGCTCCTGAAAAGGCCGTTTCAAAATTGAATCGGGGTATATCAAATGTTGGAACATCGAATCCTGGGACGAAATTCAAAATTCGATCCGGCGACTCGAGATTGGGAACAGCGAATCCAGCATGGATATCCGTCGAGGTGCTCGGGGTGTCACTTGAAACATATCCAGTGGCTACCCTTTTCAACAATCGGTGCACCTTCTCAGCAGCCACACGAGCAAATGGTAAGGCGTCTTGGTGCCTGGCAAAAAATACGGCGGCGGACTCGATATTGTCAATGATCTTGCCGCGGTCTGGTGTCGTGGTGGCTAGAAGGTCATGTGTGGAATCACTTCTCACATAAAGGAGGAGTGTAAGCGTCGCGTTCCAGAGATAGCCCATGGTATGAAAGAGGGATGCTTGAAGGGTACCAGAACTCCCGGCGTTGATAGCAGACGTGGTAAGGTGGATAAGGGACAAGGCCATTTCGATGCACTTGGCAGCCGCCACAAGTGATTCTTCCTTGACTTCCATTTGCTTTTCTCGTTTCTGCACAACCAAGTTGAGAAACGCTCGGTACAGGAGGATCCTGAGATTTAGGTAGCCTGAGATAAGAACGGTTAGTTCCGATGGCACTGGGTCTGGCCGAGAGAAATCAAGGACGTACGCAATCGGATAATAAGCCCGTGAGGCTCCTTTGACCATGTAGAGTCGTGATACCAACCGTCGTACCACGCGCAAATAGCACCATCTGCGGCACGAAGAGCAGCTGCACGTTCACGTACTCCAGAGTGTTTGAAAGCCAGCGAGTAAACTTGCTCATAGGCATCCCAAGCTAGGTAAGAAAACTGCCGCATACGTTCTAGATATTGGAGATCGATCGGCGAGGTGTCCAGCGGAAATGGTCTGACATCAACCTCTCGTGGTTGAATCCCGCACGGACGACCGGACAGAGTAGCGAGTTCCCTGTTGAGAAATTAGAAACGCCGGAGCTAGCACAGATATATGGAACTGACGTTTCATAAATGAAAAGGCACCTATCTCTAGCTTAGCATCGATCTTGGGTGGACTGAAATATCATGCAGACTTACCACCAAGTTGCACACCAGCCATTAGTATCAAGAACGTGAGCGTCCAGCGGCATGAGCTCTCTGTGCAGGCCAATGGCGTACCCTACCCTTGCTGAAGTTCCCAGCATTGCATATGCCTCGTGAAGCCTTTGTTGGTTAAAGAGCCAAACGAACTGAGTAGCTCGTTAACCTTCGATCAATCAGGCCTTAATACTTGGGGATCACTCACTGCGAGGAACATGGAGTTTACCGCAGACATGTCCCCACCAGAAAAAGGTACATCCGCAAAGGTGGATTTGGCCAGGTTGAAGCAGGTCTCCCCATATTGTGAAGCAAGGGCATCGTTTCTGACTCGATCATCTGGGTCGACAGTGCTGCACTGATGACCGTGGGCGAGAACCATGTACAAGACAGCCGCCCAGAGTTCATAGCCCTTTCCTTCCGTGGGTAGGCCTTCCCAGAAGTTGCGGTAGCGTTCCATGAAACTGATGCGGTTCAAGATAGGATATAGGCGATGGGCAGTTTGGAAGTACCGATTGACGTAGTCGTCCGCAACAGGTCTTGGTGGGAGTGATGATCCTGTAACTTTAGCAAACCTGAGGTTTGCCGCATTGTCAAGCCATAACTTAGCTCTGTTGAGAGGCCATTCGATCCGAGAAGCGGGCGGCTGATCTTCCGATTCCTCTGCCGCTTCCACCGCCCTGATGATGGCATTTGATGACGATCCTCCGTAGAACTCAGGATTTCTTGAGATGGTCAGATAGTTCACACCCCGCAGTAATTGAGCCATGTCGTCCTCACTCTGACTCGGTTCGGTCGCAGGCCCGTATACTTGGTCGGAATGGCGAGGCGGACTTGGGCCCGGCTCATTTTGACTCGGGCCAGTGGTATATCCTTCATAGATGCGCAAGCGGTCTTCCAGCTGCGCAATCCTCCTGAGACGCAGGAAATGGTGAGATGCCATCAACACATCGAGAGGCGCCGCCAACTCACTTCATCGCTTTTGCCAAGGTGAGCTTCTCGGGAGCCCGAACATCACCTCCATAGTGACACGGAAGGGAGTTCTCTTGACAGGTCTTGCAAGGGCTGCCTCCATTGCACTTTTTGAACCCGTGTCAGACTTTTCTCCGTTGACTGCACGAGGATTGACATTGGGACGTACTTTGCGGCGCAGGGCTCTGCAGTTGGAACACGCCTGTTCTGTTTTGGTTCTTTTGACACTGGGTTGCGAAGGTGGTCCCGGGGTGGGAAGACCCAGATTGGACTCGTGCTCTCTCTTACGGTCGGGAGCGATCTCTCTGAACTGCATCATGGCATCATCGCGGATGGGTGGGTTGGGATCTGGCGGAAGAGTGTTGGTGGGATGATGAGTCGGTGACATGGTGGAAATTATTATGGGAGTGAGAAGAAGAAACTTAGCGCCATGCACCCCACAAAAGGCCTTCCTCCTTTTCACTTTTACCTGTATACTCTCTACCGAGTACTCCTCGTGTCAATTTGGAAACACACACGGAAAGTGATCCGCCCAGATCTGCCCCGGACCGTGTCTGGCTTCTGGATCTGGTGCATGCCATTAACCATGTATTCTACAGCTACTTCGAAAAGAGAAGCGGACGGGAACTTTCTCCCTGCTATCACGATCGTCGCCCATAGTCGTCAGGGCAGTCAGACACCTCAGGTTCGTGTCTCTTCTCCTCTGCATATGCTACCTGCTGTTCCTTGGCTCGGCTGCTTCTCCTACGCAGCATCGACGGATGAGACGACACCGGCTTGTTTGCTCTCCAAATGGCGCACCTGCTCTGCCTTTTCTGCCAGAGTATCCGTCACGACGTGATCTTTGACGAAGAGCGTGTCAATCTCCTCCAGAGTCAAACCGCGAGTTTCAGGGTACAGGAACCAAACTGAGTTTCCGTCAGCGTGGCCGGCCGGGAAAAGAAAAGCTGGACAGGTCTTACCAATGGGCAGTTGCAGAAAGGTGAAGATGATGAATACGATGTACAGCCGCCAGTGGATATTGGCAATGCCGATCGGGCCAACCTTGACTGCGAAACATCAGATATGTGGTTGATGGGTTGAAAGCAGCAGAGGCTGAACTCACCGATAATGAAGGTGAAGGTCCCTGGGATCGATCAAATGTCAGCATTGGTTCAAACGTCAAAATCATCGCCCGTCTTCGGTCCCCAAGCTAGCTCACTTACAGTTTGCAAACGCATTCAACGCATTTCCGATATGTCTGTATCTGACAGGTACGAGCTCAGGGCCAAGGCACCAAGGACTGTTGCACGTCAGCTATTGTCCGAGTCTCGCGATGGCAAGCTTACGCCGGCAGCCAGCTCCAACCGAACGCCACACATATCAAGCACGTTGCTCCGAAAGCTACCCACAGCTGTCCAGTCCCTCCGTCCTTGACCATGGGCGTGTAAATACAATACCCAATTAACATTGGGATTGTCCCAGAAACAAGCAGCTTCTTCCGGCCCACTCGCTCAATCAGAGCAATGCCAAACAAGGAACCCACCCAGAAACTGATGGATGCGACGCCGCCCAAGACCAAAGAGAGATTAGCCGAGATTCCCAGTTGCAAGAAGACAGTGCTGGAATAATAGATGACGATATTGACCTGGACGCAAGCATTTAGCGATGTGATCGTCGATTGAAGACTGTGGGGCAACGTACTCCCGGTAATTGTTGGATCATCTGAATGATAAAAACGAGAGCCATTCGGAAAGGAATCTTCTGACCAGATCTATCATAGAAGATGGTTTTGAGACTGTACTCGCCAAAGTGGTCTTCCAGAGCAATGGCGGCGAGAATTTCGCTGCGTTCGGCCTGGACCACTTCATGTTCGATCGGGAGGCCCTTGAGAGCTGACATGACTATGTCCGCCTCTTCGTTTCGGTTCTTCGAATACAGCCACCGTGGGCTTTCTGGTAGCCAGGAAAGACTAACAATGGTGACAATGGCAAACACTGCCTGGAAGGCTGTAACGAAGTCAGCACTCAGGATCACCCCATGCAACAATCAAAAGATCCGACGCACCAATTGGAAAGCGCCACACAACTTGTCCGGTGAGGTGGAAGAAGCCATAGTTCATCCAATACGCGATTACAATCCCAAACGCTGCAATTGACAACTGTGTAGCGACCAATTGCCCCCGATGTTTGGCTTTGGATGTTTCAGAGACCCAGGTGGGCACTGTCCCGGTGTTCATTCCGTTGCCAATGCCCGAGATGATTCTCCCGACAATGAGCTGAGCCACACTGTACGATGAGGTCTGGAGTACAGCGCCTTGAACAAGAGTTAATTCCAGCGTTTCCACTTCGGTCCAATTTACTTGCCAACCACCATGATTGCCATTCCAAGTCCAATTGTACGCTTCCGACCAAGAGAAGAACCCCAAATCGCAGCGACAAGACATCCAATCATGCAGCCGATATCATATATGGAAACAACGGTGGAAATGGTATCGGCATCGGTAGCCTTTGGAAACCGGTCAGCACCACCTTCCATTGAAGAAGCGAACTCAAAACCCACTGCGATGTTGACGGCTTCGAGGAAATAGGGAGTAGAGATGATACTTCCCATGATTCCTTGGTCATAGCCTAGTGATATCTGGGTCAATCTTGTCCCTCACGGTTCTCGGTCATCGGCCTTACCAAATAACAGAAAGGCGCTGGCAGAGCTCAAGCTGATTGCCCATGAAAGAGCAGAGCCTTCCAGGCCCAAGAAAGGTTTGCTGCGTGGAGACATGATGTCTAGGTCGGCTTGTAACTGTGCAAACTTCGCATCCTGGTTGATGGGAGGTGATGGACAAGACTCAACATATATGCCCACGGTAGCATATCCGCTTGCATCGTTGACTTGTCTGTGGAGTTGCAAATCCGCCGAGGCACCAAAGGAACACCAGGCAAAGAGCGGAAACGACCATCCACGCATCCCCATTGGCCATTCCATACCGCTCCACGTATCCCCATTGGATGAGAGTATCATCTCCACAAGTTCTGCGGCCTCAGGACTCGGTTTTTTGGGATCGATGCGGGGGCGGTAGGGGTATGGGGAGTCTGGTGCAACTTCCCCGGATCTGTTCATCCCTTATTTAAATCCAGATCCCGAACGAACCACGGTCACCTCGAAGGATATATGCAGAAAGGGCATAAACAAAGAACGCGCTGCCCAATCGGACAACAGGGATGTTTGTAAGGCTTTTTGCTTTTGACCTTCCGAAGACCACGCGGCAATCTTGATCGGAGGGTTTGGGTTTAATTGCAACATTCATAGCCTTGTTCGACCACGGGCGGGCGGACCATAAAGACTTTCCTCGGTGTCTCGACACTCGGCGTTCCTGTCGACAATACGTCCATTGAGCTTCGAACAATAAGCATCGCAACAATCATTGACATCCTCACAATGGCCGATACAGAGAAGATACTCGCCGAACTAGCATCCTTGCGAAGAACGGTGTCCTCTCTCCAGAAATCTCTATCAGAGACCCAAGACATCCAAGCCGTCCAATGGCTCCTCAATCACTACACCGCGCTCCACGACGACGCTTGCTTCGACCTCGAGAAGCGGCAGGAGTGGGAGAACCTGTTCTGTGAAGACGGCGTCGCCGTCTACCCTTACGGTCAACACGTCGGGCGCGCTGGCAAAGGAGCATGGGCGTTCGGCGGCGTGAGCTACTTCGAGCGCTGCCAACTCCTCTCGTCCAACTTCGACATTGAATTCTCCCCGAACCGCAAGCGCGCGTACGTGCGTACGAACTGCATCGCACAGTGGATGAAGCGCAAGGACATCTATGACGACCACTTTGACGAGGGAGGCTTCTACAACTGGGTCCTGAGGAAGGAGGCGGACGGCAAGTGGAGGATCGAGAGAGTTCATTTGACCATTACCTGGACGACGGGCGAGGATCCTACAGGCGTTGGCCCAAAGACCAAGGCGCCCACAAAGCTTTGATGGAGTATGTAGATAGGCGCGTGGAAAACCAGATATTGAATTGCGATTTGTTTTTGAGAGAAACAGCCCCAACGTTGTCGGCCTGCAGCGAGCACGAAGCACAGGGTATGTGAAGAGAATCATCTTTTTCGAGTCACAGCGGTTGACAGGACTTGGTTGGAGGGATGCAATTATGAGAGCAGTCATTGCCTTCATCATTGTCCTTGTGCCTTGTATCTATCCCCGTTACCTCGTTCGATCGATTGATCGTCTCAAGGTATCCCAACCGACCGACCGACCATTGGTTTCCACCCTTTCCGAATCCATTGATTTTTGATTTTTGATATTTCATTTCATCTTCATCCGTCATTCCGTCGTTAAGATTGCGCGCCTCTCCTTTCTTGCCGAATACCGCCCAAAAATGACAGGGAAGCCAAATCTCTTCTCTCGCTCTCCAAAAAACCAAAAGCAGGCTGCGTGTTGTTCGTCCATTCCAAGCACGTAGGTCGCGAACCGACGTCCAGCAACTCTAATGGTGCGGTTTGAACGGCGCGAAGAAAATCCCATCTAGAAACGATACAAGCATGGTGTCTCACCCCCTAATTCCTCTCACACACATGAGAGGCATACCGGAGCACCTCAATAAATTGGCACGAGACAGGTTCCGGGGCGGCTTATTCTTCGCTCCCAGAGCCGCCCGCGACGACGGCGCCATGCTTGAACAGATGCCGGTGCATATCGCGGCGCTTGTGCTTCATCAAGTAGCGCTTCGCGTGTGCTTCGTCGAAAGCCACCATTTCCCCACCAGACGACGACGACACGCCAGGCTCTGGGCCTGTTTCACGTCGGCTCTTCTTCTCCTTCTCGTGGTGAAAGTCGTCGTAGCCGAGTGCACTAACGGTCGTGTATGTGACGGCGTTGGAAGTTGCTGCGTTTGTCTCCAAGGCGGTGGCGGCGGTACCAGTGGTCCTGTTGGGTGTAATTTTTGGCGCCGACGCGGCGGACTCTTGCACCTCGCTGACGGTGCCGTCCGAGGCGACAGCTACAGCCATCGGCGGTCCCACCGTCGCAGAGGGCTCTCGCGCGTCGAAGGACGCCGTGGACGACACTAACACTGAAGTTGACGCAGTAGTTGGCACGGCCACAAGGTAGTTTGCCGCGGAGGCACCGACCGTGCCGAATGTCTTGCTGTGTCGCCCATTGCCGCCGCGGCTAAAGCCCGTTGTAGGAACAGATACACTCGTTGGAGGCGTGGGGACCACTGGCGGGAGCCCTGACGGTACACCAGGGACGCTGACTGAGACAGTAGACGCTTGCGTCGACGAGGGAGGAAATGGCGCGCCGGTGCTGGAAATCTCGCCTCCAGCGTTCTGGAAGACCTTGAGCGAGTTGACGGACCAATATGCATCCTGAAACGCAGACGGATTGTTCTGCACGAAACTCTGGCAGGTCGATGCCTTTGATCCGCACAAGGGGTCCGAAGTCCACACGTTTCCAGCCCAGTCACCGCAGAAGGTCGTATCAAAGACGATCTGGTTGTTGCTGAAGAAGTCGTCTATGTTACATCCTCCGGCGAAGGAAGCCACGGGTTGGCCCCAGTTGCTAGGATCAGGTGTCCCCGCGGCTATGTCAGACGGGATAGCTGAGCGGGGGAAAAACCAGATGTTGATGGCCGAGGAGGTCCATTCAGTTGCGTATACGCCGCCTTCGCCTTGGTTGAACCCTGTTCCGTAAGTGGCGTCGTTGGCAGTCCCGATTTGGCATCCTGCGTTGGTCGCTTGGCCGACGGCCTTGATGTCGCAGTTCGGGGTAGATACCGAGCCTGAAAACATGCCGTTGTTTGTGATGCTACACCCGGAGGTGGTGTGAAGGGTCATGGCGTTGGACACTTGCGAATTGACACCCTCGATGATATCGATTTCTCCTGCATTTGGCCAATTGGGCCCAACGGTCCAGAAGGCCGGCCACGTACCACAGATCCCGCCGGGCATGTGTGATAGATCCAGGATGATGAGGCCATGGGTATAAGACTTTTTGCTTGTTAAGCGGACGCTTTGACGGCCGGAGCCTGACGCAACGTTTGTATGATCGACACCCATATAAACGGCGCCGTTGTCGGTGCTGATAAGCCCACCGCTTTGGGCGGTGTTCTGGTCCACATATTGCACATAACCGTTCGTGGGGTCTGCGTCCTGATACTTGTGTCAGCACTCAGGGTTGGAATTTTATAGAAGGGCCGGGCCCTACTGTGAAAAAGTCAAACATGGAAAAGAATTGATCAACGCTGTAGTCATCCTCCAGCACATATCCAGCTGTGCTCAAAGAGACAAGCCCCGCTAGGGTGACCAGAAAAGAAGAAGCCAACATATTTGCTTAGATTGGAAAAAAGATCGACGGAAAGGAGCGACGATTGCAAAGATGCAAGTTCAAATGGGAAAGGAATGGACGCAAATATGCTGGCTTGAGAAGAAGTAATGGAAGAATGACCTGTCCACGAGGAAGAGGACGGGCCAAGTCCCAAGGCATGAAATATGTATATCAAGAGGGGTCTTGGGTACCACCGAGGGTACGTAGAGAAAGGGGTCAGCCACGGTCCAGATCCCGTCCTGGGCGTCTGTGTGCAGGCAGGCCAAAGAGAAGTATCCATACCTGGGTACGCGTCGAGGCTGTCATGCACAGCTGACGCGCAGAAGGGCAAGAAGCTTTATGGATTGGCGCATTGATGCCTGAAAGCGCTGAAGAGGAGCAAGGGGCATACTCCAGATACGCTCATGGGAACGTGGACTGGCGGGTCACGAAGCGAGGGAAGACGAACCATCACCGCCCTATCGAGCAAGGCCCTCATCCTGCAAGAACAGAAGCATCGGGAATCCACGGAAAGAGGGCGATGGAGTGCTGAATGGTTGTGGCAGAGCTCATTAAGGAGAGAAGGGACTCTCTCCCTGCACTGAGCGAAGCTTTTTGGTGAACAATCTGGAAAGGACATGGGAGAAGTGGTATTAGCCTGAAACGATGGTCTTGGGTGCGATCCTCGCGTAGCCTCCGCATATTTGAAACGCGGCAAGGACGGAAAGCCTGATAACCTTGATAGGGCAAAAGCATTGACCCTCTACTGAAAATTGGCCTGAGCTTTAACTGAACAGGTCTTGGACTCGGGCGGGGAGAAAGACCAAGAAAAACAGGAGGAAGTGGAAGAATCCAAGGGGCGGCTGAGCTCGCCAATCGGGGCTGGGAAGGGGTCTGGTCACGTGTCAGGCTGGAGCCCATCGGCCCAGTTCGAAACATTCCACGTCTCATCGCTTTGGGGCACATCAAAGGCTCCACCATGCACCGAGGAAAAGGAGAAACCCAAGCCGACGGTCCGTGACAACTGGAAAAGGGAAAGTATTCTGTTCATTATTGTATGCGTCAAGCTATACGCAGGCTGGGCAGGCTAATTGAGGAACACCTTCTTCTATGCGTGCCTGTCCTAGGCATTTCTGGTGGTACAGATGTCGGCAGGAAAACGCCACAATTGGACCGAGCTCTCCTGCAGGTCCAACGCCCACACCAGAACTGTCAGCCTCAAATGGCTCTTGCGAGTTCGCGCCGACTGTGGCTTTGCCTTTTCCTCGACTGTCATCGTCTTCGACCACAGATTCGCCCTCGTGGATCCGCCGTCGGCGGAGAAGTCGGGCTTCTTCTCGTTTCTGCCATTGCCTCCAAACCTTTTCGCCGACGCCGGGCCCCCAAATCCGTCGCCGACAGACTTCGCATACCTGCCCTCGGGGTCTCCAACCCCGCTGTCTGAGAGCGGCCACTTCATCCAAGCGCACAAATACATCCTTATCTAGCATCGAATTCGACAGGCCCAGAAGTGACTCCTCATATGTGTACGCTGAAAAGATGGAACTGATCACATTCCGCAGTTCCGATAGAGAAGGGCTTGCTTCAGCAGCATGGGAGAGGAATGCGCGTAGGATACGCAAAAAAAACATGTCTCGACCGGAACCTCCCTCTCGCATAGATGTAGTACTTGTCAGGAGTGCAGTGAAAACCTGCTGAATGACTGTCCGGAGTCCTTTCGTTATTTCAGGACCACTTCCCTCTGGTTGTGTGCCCTCGTTCACTGGAGCATGGATCGAGACATCTCGAGCTATCGATACCACGCAGAGAATAAGGTCAAGCCAGAGGTTCTCTTCAAAAGACAATGCGCGTGTCGCACTTGCGGATCTTCTCGGCGACTTAGAAACGGTCAGTGTCTTGGGTGCATTTTTCATTTGCCCTTGGCACAACCAAATACCCACTCGAGTGTATTTTTCCAATGACTCGAGTAAGTTCGTCGTTGGACGCTGGACGGATGCATCATCAGCCTGGTCAACAACATCCGACTTCAAACTCTTCAAGGTTGAGCCCAAGAAGGCCAAGTGCCTTGTCAACCGATCCATCGCTTCCTTCGCTTGTCCTTGTCGAACCTGCAAGATCACTACAGCGTCAATGATGCCACTGTCTTCAATCGTTGGCAGGACTTCCGCAAGCCGAATGTCGCCCTCTTTAATCTCCTCCACGTAATCTCTCACATGTGAAGGGTCGAACTGGCAAAGAAGGCGAACATACAGTTCCATAATCTCATGGTCATAGTTCCGACGCGAGCGCAGATGGTCTTCGGGCTCCAAAAGCGTTCTCAGATACTCAAACTGTCCAAAAAGATCTTCGGCCAAAACTTGCAGGAAGACGTGGTGCAAGTCCGGCGCGACTTCGTCAATAGCGGTGGCACATCTTTGGACATCAATGCTGATTAAGTCCAGGGCATGCTTCCGGATGGTTTCTCTGATGTCTTCTCGCTGTTGTTTCACGAGGGATGATTCTGATCGGAGAAATTCAACAACACAGGCAAATACACCAACTTGGTCTTGACTGTCCAGGAAGAACGTTGATATCATATCAGCGTATTGACGTTCTTGCTTGAAAATAGACTTGAGGACACGGTAGAACCTGGCTTCCTGGAGCAACGGAACAAAGTCAAGTACGTTCGGTGGCTGGTAGACGGAAAGGAGGTATTCTATGCTTAACTCGGCATCTTCTTGCATGTCATCTTCCGGGTACCGACAAAGTCGACTGAAGATCTCTTGTAGGATCGTTCCCGAGAGTACCATGTACTGAGGATATTTGGCCAGGTTGCGCGCAATGAACATGTCCAAATATATGGTGTCATCAGAGTCGAACTCCGACGACATAACTTCTAACAATATCCGAACGATGTATTGGCGAGTATAAGTTCGCGTTACTGTCTCTTGGTTTCGGTCGAGGCTACTGGGTGGACCGTCGTCACCCGAGTTGAGATAGCTGTCTTCGAACGCCTCATTCAGCGCCGCGATGAAACTTGCAGTATCGAAATGAAGTACCCGAGACAGATGCTCGAAAGAGGTCGCAGGTTTCAAGGTGGATTCGGCCCTCTTTTTGGCCACTCCATTTGCACCTGAGCCCCCTGAAAAGAAAAAATCGTAGACTTGGCCTTTGGCATGCACGGAGTTCTCGTCGCCTAAAGGATTTCCTGTAGGATACACGCGACCTGTCAAGATAAAGGAGATGTAAGGGAAAACTTTCTGGGCGACATTGTATCTGTCAACCACGTCGACGGATCGCTGACGCGGAAGATCCTCACTGTCAGCTAAATCGAGCAGCATCATCAAGGGTGTCGTGAAGTCGCGGAGGGCCATTGTCCAGACATAGATGTAGGCATCGTACAGAGCATATTGTTTGCAAAGAGTTGTCACTTGATCAATGTCCATTGTGGAAGTATCCAGCATGCAGACGATTTCTTCCAGTACCGACGGGGTGTGTGTCTGGACAAAATGGTTGATCAGGGTCTTCAAAGCGGGCGGAGGTACTGAGGCGATTCTTTGATCCAGTATGTACGGTTCAAGAACATCCACAAACAAAGGCCCGTAGCCGTGCTCCTCATACCATGAGAAGACTTCCTCGAAAAGAAACTCCTGATCCTCCATGGCAAGACATGCTTTAATGCAAGCGTCTGCAAGGTCAGTCATTTGAGGCTTTTCGATCTGATCACTCCCAGCTTGTTGGTTCTTGCCGAAGGCGTACTTCAAGGAGGCGGTCATCATCTCGACGAGCTTTTCCCTGACGACACCTGCACGAACATTGTCTTCTTCAGGTAGACCAATGGTGACTTGTTCCCCTTCACCTTGGTAATACTTTGTAGCGAGCCGGATGGCGCCAATGAAATCGCCAACATTTATCATGGCCAAAAGTCGATCAGCCCAATTTGTCAGAACGCCAGTCCAAACGTCATTGAAGCCGAGCAAGAACAGCCTGCCTTTGTATGCCCGGAAGCTCATGTGAAACGCATCCGCAACCACACCGTGCATGGACATGTCCTCTTCATCAAGCTGTTCGATGATTGCTCCTAGCTGCTGTGAGTAGAGATCTGCATGATATATGTTTTTCTTCAAAAGGTCAAAGGCTTCAGTCACATGCATCGTGAGATCCTCGACGACGAGGAGCTGTTGTGTGATGGTCAGAACAGCCAGCACTGATTTGTTGAGCCATTGGACAGCAACAATTGCCTCGTCAGCTTGATAACGACTTCGAGCCAGGAACTGGAGTTCGGGAGGTTTGTTCTTTTCCGCAGCGTCGTCTCCCTGGGTGCCATGAACTTCCAAGACCGTGAGGATGTTAGACCAGGCATAAGCAAGCTTTGTCTTTGAGACTTCGGAATCCTGAGACTTGAGCTTGATAGCTGGAAACCAAGCCAAGGCCGCGGTCATTGCGCTGTGCGCTGCTACCTCTTTGGGACGGGCAGCTTTATGCTGGGTCTGTGCTACGGGCGTGGTCGACACAATGACAAGCAAATATGGTGTCAACATGGCCACGAGTCCCAGGCTATCTGTCTTTTGCTCTATATTTCCCAATGGCAACGGTGAGAATGCCAGGACAGAGCTTTTCCTCAATGGCTTGGATGGTCGCGACACAACCTCGGGGTACCGCCCAAGAATTCGAGTGGTGCGGACCACGCGACCAACTGCTCCCATTCCGCGAGTTGCCAGGTGCCAGAATGCCATGCCCTTGTCATCGGCCGAGACAAGCGCAGTATGCCTGTAGCCTAGGAACCCGATGTGAAGAACAGCGCTGTCTAATATGTGCCCGTCTCCCCGTCGAGCTTGAGGCTGAGAGGCCTCAATTGGCTGGATGTGTAGAAAGGGTCTGGAAGGTCTGGCCAGTTCCCAGGTAAAGATGTGGCCAGTTTCGTGTCCGACGGCGATAGTAGTATGATCGGCAGATATTGCGAGGGCCGTGACCGCGCCACTCTCTGCTGCTTTCGTACCGCTACCAATGATTGCTTTGTGATTTTGATGATGGTCAAAGACCAGAACAACTCCCTTGGAGGTCCCCAACACCAGCTGGTCTGCCACAGCCAGACATGTTGGGCTTCCGAAATTCCTTCTTCCAATCTCCGAAAATGCTTGCCCACTAATCTTTCTAAACTTGCTCCATCTGATCACATCCCATGGATTTATGGTCTCGTCTGGCTCGGAAGGGGTGTGGAGTCCCTGGCTCGCGGCAGAGGAGTGGCGGGAATGGGCACCAAGGAATGCAGGCGAGCTCGAGCGTAAAGGTGAGAGTTGGGAACTTGAAAGGCGAGATTGAAACCGGATATCGAAGGGACGGTGGATGGTCGCGGGGCTGCCTCTGCGAGCGGGACTGCGGATTGAGGCCGCATCACTTCGAGGAGAGGAAAGCACCGAGTCTTGTACAGATGGGGAGTCGTCAGGCGTTGAAACGGAGTCGTCAATACTGAGGACATTAGTCGCTTCATTGGACGGAGGAATATTGTCTGCTCCATTTGTTCCTGGCGTGTCTGGTTCTCCTTCTCCCTCGATTTGACGATGATCTCCATTTTCTACCTCGAGCACACCATCGAGTGCGTCAACCTTGCTCTCCGCGGGCTCGTGGGGTTCGGGCGCTATTATGTCTGGCACATCGTGGTCGTCCTGGGATCCTGACTCTTGGCCAATCTCGCCCACATGCTCGCCATGGTCTCCATCGCGCAGGAAGCTCTCGCCCTCATCTGGGGTCGAGTTCATCGAGGTATCGTCGACACGATCATTGCTTCGTGCGCATCGTCACAGCCAAGTCGAGTCTCCTGCGACCTCCCCGAGTAGCGGAGCACAGAATATGCAGCAGGCAGAAGCAAAATAATGGGTTTGGACCAATGGCTCTCGAGTTCTCGGATCACAGGTATTATCAGCCGGAAGGGAGGGTAAGTCAAGGAAACATCTATGGCAGTGCCTAAAACAGGACGCAAAAGGAGGAGGAGCAGGTGAATCGGAGTTCTGCAGACGAGACAAATGCTATACTTGTGGATGGGCAATAGGTTACGTAGCCACGATGTGATACGACGGTTGAAGACACGACAGACACGGTCCACCACGGGACCATGTGGATGGAGGATGGTTCGGTTGGCGGAGAAATGCTCTTCCGTAGACGATACGGTGGAACACAGTGGATGAAACGCAGGGCGCTTTTGGGCGCAAACCAGTTGGCCATGCCTCGTCCCCGTTCCAGCTCTGATGTTCCCAACTAAGATGTCCAAAGTACAAGTACATGTACTCCATGCTGGCGATTTGCAGCTCCATCATAGGCCAGCGAATCTGCGGAGGACTCGTACAGCATATCCGGTTCCCGCCGACAAACGAGCGAAGGAGGGCGGTGGTCGAGATTGACTCGGGGAAAAGGCCCTTGCGGACGAGGAATTTTCACCCAACTAGCGTCGCCGACTCCGCAAACTTCCTCGGCATCTTTTCTGTCTTTCTGTGGTTTTCCAGCCTCTCGCCTCTCCAGCTGCGGCGAATTCATGTGTCAGCCCGCTGCTGAGTTCATTACCCATTACCACTACCGCTGCTGCCATCTGCCATCATTTCCTTCCCCCTCGGCCGTAACCACACCATCTCGACGTCGCCTCATCTACCGCCAACAATCCTCTCTCTTCCATCTAATCCTCACACAACCACCGCCGGTGATTGATATACGACACGCCAGAGAGAACAGAAATGACGAGATAACAAAAGAATGACGACAGTTTCGCCGCCCAAACCTTGGGAGCGTGCTGGATCAACCGGTAAATAGTTCTCCAGCTCAACAAGCCCGCTGCGAAAACGTCTATACTGACGATTGAACCTTCATAGCTCCCTCTGGCACAAGCACACCTATAACCTCCACAGCCATGACCGCGCCTTCACCCATCAACGCCTCCTCCACCTCCACCTCCACAGACTCCGCTGCCCCAGCTCTCCCCGACCGACCTTCGACGTTAAACAACGTCGTCAATCAAAATGCCTCTAACTTCACAAATCAGAACCGCTTTGGCATGAATAGCAGCCCTTACTCCTCGCCTTATTCCTCCTATTCGTCTCCCTACTCGAGGTTCGGCGGCGGCATGTATGGTGGAGGCATGTACGGAGGCGGGTATGGCTATGGTGGAATGTATGGCAGTGGCATGTATGGGGGATATGGAAACTACCCGGGCATGCCAGGAGATCCAAATAACCAGAGTCTGACCCAGACGTGGAACAACAGCACAGCGGCGACGTTTCAAATTATGGAGAGTATTGTCGGCGCGTTTGGTGGGTTTGCGCAAATGCTGGAGAGCTCGTACATGACGACGCGTTCCTCATTCTTCGGTAAGTCGCTTCCTAGCCAGAACAACATTGAGACTGACTTCTCTGAAAAGCAATGGTCTCCATGGCCGAGCAGCTCGGGAATCTACGCCAGACCCTTGGTTCTGTTCTCGGAATCTTCACTTTAATGCGCTGGCTTCGGACCTTGGTCGCAAAACTCACCGGTCGTCCACCCCCAGCCGACGCAACAGCCCTCACGCCCGCAGCCTTTTCATCCTTTCTCAATGGTGGCAACAGCTCTACACCTGCGACATTGCCTGATGGCTCCGCTGCACCGGCCCGCCCCTCGAGAAAACCGTTCATCATGTTCGCCATCGCAGTCTTTGGTCTGCCCTACCTAATGAGCAAGTTAATCCGCGCCATGGCCCGCTCGCAAGAAGAAGAAATGCGTCGCCACCAGGAAGCTGCGCTGACATACACCGTCGGTCAGAACGGAGAGCAAATCCCTATCGACCCCAAAAAACTCGACTTCTGCAGAGTGTTGTACGACTACACCCCCACGCCACAGTCTGGGGGCATGGATCTCGAGGCAAAGAAAGGCGACTTTGTTGCAGTGCTTTCCAAGACGGATCCAATGGGCAATGCCAGCGAATGGTGGAGGTGTCGTGCTCGAGACGGCAAGATGGGATACCTCCCATCTCCCTACCTCGAACCCATTCAAAGACCTATGCAAAAGATCACCCCGCAAATTACGGAAGGGAACGTCGAACAGACTCAGATACCCATGCAGAAGACCACCCCACAAATCACAGAAGGAGACGAGATATATCAGTCGAAGCTTCTCCCCCAAACAGGGGAAACAGAGGAAGGACGCTACAACCCGCTGTATGCACCGGTGGCGAAGAAGAAGTACGCCGCAGCGGAGCCAGTGCTTGGTCCCAAGGGACCAAAGATAGACAGCAAGCCCGGCGACATTACGGCGGAGAGTTTCCAGAAGAGCGCCTTTTATTCGTGATGCAAGCCGACCGAGTAAGGAACAAAAGCAGTGTAGGGGCGAAATTGACCTGTTTGTCTTGTTTTTTTGCCTGCCGTCCTTCAACAACCAACATCGTTGAGGTTGCTCAGGAGCTCAGGAGTATTCATGTAATGGGAAAAGAAACCGCCCTTTTCACGTTTATGCCTCGCTCACACACACTCTCTTTCGATCTCTCACTTAACTGGATGCTTTCATTTTCTGTAATCTCCCTGTATCTCCCTTTTGGACCTCTTTCTAAACAGGGAGAGGTATCTCCTGAGTATGCAACACGCGTGCACGTCTGTATATATATACACAAAACGTAGGAAGAATCCCGGCGCCGTTTCCCTCTTCCTTCCCTCTGTTCTCCGTCGTCCGTCTTCCGTCTCCCTTCGCTTTTCGGAGGGTGGTTTCTGTCCTTTTGGAGCGAAAACCAAGCTGAGCAGGTTGGTATCAATGAATGTGCTATGCTGTGCGGTGAGCTGAAGGGGAATGGGCACGGGAACGGGAAGAGGACTCTCGAAGTGAGACGGAATGAGAAAATCGTATTAGCAGTGCCATATTCCCGAGTTCCACATGTATGCCCACAAATGTATGTCCAGTTCTATTTCTCTTCCTACACCCACAATTTATATTCTAAAGGATGTTTGATCTCTCTCTCTCTGTTAATGCTTGACGTTTCTATACCCCCAGGATATTTGGTTATATGTTAACAGATGTCAGGAATCTAACGTTTCTCTCGGAGCCAACTACTCGAGTCAACTCTGATGCCTCTCTGTATATATGCATGTCCATAATCTAGATACCCTGCATTAATGTTTCACGAGATACGTTCGACGCGGCTCCACTCTTCCCCCTTCTCTCTATCTTCTTGCAAAAGCATCATGGGATGTATGGGTTACTTAATTTTTACCTTAACGTAAGCTCGAGTCTAATTCCGAACCTCCGAATCTATATGAAGTAAAGAGCCAACTGGGGTATTTGCAGAGGGACACTATCAATACCTAGCTATCTAGCGCCCAGTCGACCGGGCCATGGCCTCGGCTGGCCCACGGATGGCTCATGGGCAACCCGTCACAAATGACGCTGGGTGAACGTGGTTAACAAACCTTTGAACCAAAGCCACTGAACCAAAAGCCATTAAACCCAAAAAGTCATTGAAGCAAAAGAAAACTTTTGAGAGGGCCAAGTCATAGCGCGCGCAAACAGGATCGCGGCGGAAAACATGGCAGTGAAGCTGACAATTTAGCAATGAACACAACAAACCCATGAGATAAACACGCTCAAAGGAGCCCTAGGCCGCTAAAGCTCCTCGCAAGCCAATGCCCCGTTCCATTGCGTTGTGTTATCCTGGAGTCTTCTTTTCTGATCAAGGACGCCAGCATCGCACGGATGTCATCAACCCAGAAATCACCATCTACACAAAAATTCTGATCGAATGTGCAGCATAGACACGTACAAGCTCCAGCAAATTCAAAGCCTGCCTCGGCGGTGCATGCCTCTCGCCTGTAAGTAATGATGGGCAATATTAGTACTGAACTTTACGGATTCAGCATGCGCTGACGTGATAGATGGACATACCTCTTGCACGCTGTCAACCTCATCGTCACCCAGAAAAGCGCCCTCATCACTGCCATCAGTATCCTCACTACTATCATCACTATCCTCTGTAGATTCCTCACCCCAGCTACCTCGTCGAGTTGACGAACGACTCGCACCATTGACGACAAGTGGGCCAGTTGGTGATGTCGAACCGCTGCAACATCCTGATCTGTCCCTGTTAGCCCGAGACGGTTCTCTCGCCGACTCTCTCAACGGCGGAGAGGCACGTCGTCTAGACTTCGACCTGGTGGCTTTAGAAGACAATCCCATGCTCTTCTTTTGCTTCGATGAGCTGCTTCCGTTCTTCGTCTCCTGCAACGGCATTCTTGATGAGCCCAAAGTTGAACTCTTAGTCGTCGCTGTCATCGAAGGCTCGTCTTTCTCTTGTTTGACGTTGATCTTACGGTTGGAAAGGTATTTCCCGTCGAGGTCGCGGACCGCACTGAGGGCTTCGGATGAAGTCTTGTAACGTGCCCGCGCAGTACCCTTATTCTTACCCGGATTGCGGCTGTCAGGGTGGATCTCAAGGTAGATAACATTGCCACAACGTTTGAGGAGACTGCGTAGCTCACTCTCCGATTGATAATAGGGTAAGCCGGAGATGAAGATCTTGCTGCCGTCATCAACACGACGGACAGGGAGAGCTGTAGGAGGCGAAGATGGATGCTGGACAGAGTCGCTGGTGAAGTGAGTGCTGTACGGGGTTGTAGGGGCGATGGTGCTTGCAAGAGTTGATGGGGCCAGGTACGAATGTCGAGGCATACACACCCCAGACAGGTATGATGGAGTAGTTGGAGCTCTAGTGGGGTCGAGAGCAGGCACCCCTGGCTGAATAGGCCAAGAGGTCATCGCTGCAAACTGTGTGTTGTAGCTCATGGAGGCCGTTGGATGGGCGGAGGTAGCGTAAAGAGGGTTTCTTCAGGTAAGTTAGCCATGGACAGCATTATTCACCAAGAAACATACGCTGAAGATCGTGTTGTCACAGCGGGGCCTGGTAGTGTTGGGTGGGAAAGCCCGGTTGGCCTTTCAGAGGCCACGATTCCATTACTTTCCTTTGGTCCTTCGACTCTTCTCAGAGTCCCGTCCTTCTCCAGGGCGACCAATTTGACACGGACACGATGGCCGTTCCAGCCCTGAGTGCAGAGGTTCTCTGTGTCTCGTGAGCGCGTGGATGAACATGTTGGGGGCCGAACATACCATAGACCTTGACTGCATCAGACCTACCCTTGATGGTGCAATGCCCCATCTGGGTTCCGTTTCCAACGTCGAAGACTTCAGCTTTCAGGCTCTGTTCACCCCCCAGGCTTCTGGTCATGTCCTTGAGCTCTTGCCATCGGCAGTGGCGGGGAATCTGAGAAACCGGAATCAACTTCAGAAATGACATCGTATGAACCCTCTCAACTTACATCCTGGACAAGAATGATATAATGTTGCTCGTCTTTGCTCAAATGACGAGGTCTATGACGTTCTTGTTTTTGAGGCATTTTCCGGAGACTTCACAAAGACTGACAGCGTCAATGCTTCAAAGCCAACTCTGAGCGCCTGTCAAAGTTGTCGGTTGTTCTTTTCTGTTCTTCCACCATATGGCTGCAGATTGGCCAATGGACTTGACACTCTTGTTGACAGACGCCTTCACCGCAATTATGAGGGAACAGGAGGTGGAAGTCGGCTGGTATAGATTCAAACTGATGCATATGGATCAGGTCGTGAGTGGAATCTTTGACCACTTCTCCTCAAAAGATGAAAGAGGATCGCTTGCTTTGAGACCACCAAGGAGGAACAGGCTGTCCAGCAGCGACAAGGCGGACCTAGGGCGGACAAGGGTCAAGGGATGGAACCATTGATATTTTTTTCCGACCAAATGGCTCGGGGACGAACTACGAGCCCTGCTTTCGGAGGAGGGAAAAAAACCAGTAGAAGGCAAGACTTCTGGAATCCCTTGGTCGGAATTTTTGATATAACGAAGATATTTTTCGTTTGAGGAGAAAGTCACCCATGGAGCGAGATCGATGACTGATTTATAGCCTTGACCTACCCAACCCTTTCGATGATGGTACACAGTGGCTTGAATCCTCGATGCAGTACATCTCTTGTCTAGTGGAGGATGTCTTCACAATCAGCATCTGATTCAGATCCGCCATAGTGGAGAAGATGGCATTGAATCTCTGAGCTGAAGCCAATAGAATGATCCACAGGAATAGGCTGAAATAAAGCTCGCAGGTGACTCCCATCGTCGAAAATATGATATCAGATATCACCTCTGGCTTGCATGTTAGCAGCAAGGGCTTTCACTTTGGGAGCAATCAACCACAAGGCAGTTATGCCAGCTAAGCAAGCCTCCCTTATAGCGAGTAGCGCCCTATATCGGACATGTGGTTCGGGAATATCCTTGTTTAACGCTCGACCCAACTGCAGTGCCTGCAAGCCTCTTGGAGATGGGAGAACGTCGACCAATCGACGTCGATCCGGCACTGTAGGGTCAGTAAACCGAGAAAGTCTGACCAGAGCCAAATGTCTCGCGGAGAAAGTCTTGACAGGCATGTGGACGGACCCTTGAAATCTGTCAACAACAATAGTGCTATGGGGATTTTGGGGGGGGGGAAGTGTTTTGTGCAAGTAGGCCAGCTGGAGCAACCCCTGGGCAGGACCTGACGTAAAAGCAAAAAGGACTTGCTGCAAGTCAAGACATGATTCTTTGGTTCGACTGGATCCGGGAGCTCTCATGAGCTTATAGATTCATTCGGGCCCGACCAAGGGGGGCGATTCGAGCATGGAGCTGGAGAAACGCTGGCGCCAAGGGCACGATGGTCGTGTTCCCAATCTCTAGATACGTTCTTGAGGGATCCGAGTTTTGTCCCCTGCTGGGATGATCGTGTACGCCAACCTCGGGTCAGACAATGCCATGGATCTCAAGAGACGTAAAAGCCCAGTGTCCAGCCCGTTCACCTCTTCACCGTTGAGCAGCTTCTTGGGAGAGCGCACTAGAAGAAAAGAATGCTCCGGAAACCTTCTGGAGGGGAGGACGGTGTAATGCCACACGCCTTGGTCGTGGTTGTGCTAGCACGGCCTTTGAAATCCAAAAGTTCTCGCGTAGGAGCGCATTGGTGGCTTGCCAGGGTCAGCTGGAACGCCAGAAATCTCGGTCTTCGATTTCCTGTGCCACATGCATGACGCCTGATGGGGATTAACTTCGATCCTGCAAGGACAATGCTGCTGCAAGGCCGCAGTCGCTAGGTGGCAGGCCGGGGAAACGGAAACACCCATGGCTGTAACTGGGACACCACCATCGCAGGTTTGGTGTATGGCAGTGAGCGTGTCTGATACGCCGAGGCCACTGGTTGACACGAGATGCGGTGTCGCCCACTACGAGTATTCAAAACAAACCCCGGATTTGCGGC